TCACCATATGAGATGAGCACTAAATGATGATGAACCCTGGTGATGTTGCAGGCGCTGGGATTCTCGCTCTTGCTGGTGGTGATTGTTTTTTTCAGATGGTTTTAATGGGTTCTCATACGTATATACCATAATCTTGAGATATACATGGATAATGCAAGTCCCGTGCTTGTCAAAGGAATAGAGGAGGGACTTAGATAATTGTCTTGTACATTCATATGAACCCCTAGATACATGTATTATACCTCATGTTTACTTAAGCTTTGTATCATTTCTTGTCAGAATCTACAGTTTGTGTACAAAGAACACAAAAAAATAAATGAGTAAATGATTGTTTCTTTCTTGACCTGAAATGATAACTTTTTATTGTTTGGGTTTTGCGCTGGTAGCAACCATCAGATGTGATGAGTTGGTAGAGTTCAATCCTTGAAGGTCCATCTCTGGGATTGTGAGCATAGCTAAACCTTACCAATCTGAAATCATAACAATAATGAATTGAATTTGATGATGGTGACTGGGGATAGTCTGAACGACTTTGTGTCAAGGTATTTGTTGGTATTTTCTTTACCATTAAATGTAATTGATTGCTGTTTAGTTAGGTTGAAGAAACCATATAATCATCGTTGAAGATTATAAATTCTGTTCATTATCTGCTTATTAGAAGACCAATATATTTTCAGTATTTTGATTAGAGTGATCCATTGCTTACATCACGACGTAATCCAATGGAAATTGGAATACCATTTTAATCAAGGAGTAAAAAAATTGATTGAAGAGGTTTTATTATAAATATTAGAAAGCCAATATGTGTTGGAAGCATTAGTATATATCAATACTAATACTAGTGAAAATCCACGCGTTGCGCGGAATAACTATTTAGATAATTTTTTAAATTATTATAAATATATATATATATATATTAATATTGATATATTTAAATGATGTTTAAGATTTATGCTCACAATTTATATTTATAAAAAAAAAATCATTTTCAAATGTTTATTATGAAAGTGAACCAAATGATGATATAGATACAAATATTTTTATTCGAACGCTATATTTTCAATTTTGCTCTAAAATTTAGCGTATTTTTCTTGGATCTCTTTGTTATAATTCGTGTCCATTATTGTAAAAAAAAATGAATATTGAGTCAACAGGTGGCCAAAAAGATAAAACTTATATAATGAAATATGCAATAATTCATAAATAAATATATAGGTAAAACAAATTAGTGAAATTTAGTTACTTTTAAATTTAGTTGTTTATATTATCTAAATTTATATAGCTTCTACAATGTTTTAAAACTGGTAGTTTTTTATACAACTTTATTTTTATTCATGTTTTTATGGGTATTTGCATAAAACACTCTATATAAAAATCAAAAATCAAGATCGTATGTGACATAAATTTTTTTTTTAGTTTTTAATCAATAAATGAAGATCATAACATTTTCAAAAAAAAAATTGCATTTTCTAATACTCGTTTAGTATTATTTGCATAGTGAAAATATCTAGTACAAAATTGTCAATGGTGTGTCAAGATTAGTTTTGTTTGGCCTAAACTTACAAAATTATAGTATCAATTATTGTTATTTCATACCATTCATTACAGATTAAAATGTTTGCATATAAAGTTTAACTGTAATACAACACATGCTGTGGACCTTTTCTCTTAATTGCAGAGTTAATTTGATC